TCATTGTTGCTTTAGCTGGCCCAGGCTGGGTTCGAACCTGCCAGCTTCAGTATATGTGGTGAGCACACTACCCACTGAGCTATGGGCGCTGCCCCTACCTCAGTTTTGTACTAATTCTGATGGTGACTCCAAAGCTTTGGCTTTGGGGAAAGACCCAGAACTTTATTGGACCTTTTGCTTTGGCTGAAGTTAAAGACTGGGCTGATCCAGTTAAAACTCCATTCTTCTTTGTCTGTTATGCTGACCACAGTCTTCTGGTCCTTGGTCCTCATAAAACTGCTAACCGTTTGGGGGTTTATTGAGCACCTAATGTTTGCACAAAATGACAGTTACATTTCATACTCCTATGTATCCTCAGCAACCTCCAGAGAAACTTCAGAACTTATTGGGTTTGCTCTGCCAGCTGGACTGACCCAGAGTTGCTGCCTGTCACAGCTTTGAAGGTCGCTGGGTTGGGAGCCTGGTTGAATGTAAACATCTGGCCTCTCCACCACCCACCCCTTTGGCAATTCCTGTCTCTCCCAGAAAGGTACCAACATCCATGCAGTTAGTTACTCAATCCAGAACATTTATCCTTGACCACCTCTCCCTCATAATGCCGTCAATTCTTTCCAAGCAATCCACTATTGTTCACCTCTATCATCACATTTTCATCCAAGATACCATTCTCTTCTCTCAAGTACTGGAATATTTTGGCATCTATCTTAACTTTTGCATCCCCATTCTCATTCTCCACGAAGCAGCTGAGTGGTCTTTATAAAACCCCCTGCTTAAAATCCTTCCATGGTTCCTAACACCTATGAGATCGAGATTAACCTTCTCGTCACAGCCAACGAGGCCCGGCAAAACGTAAGGCCTTCCGCCTATTTCTCCACCTTCATCTGCTACCTCTCTGCCTAGCCTGCAACCAAATATTTTTTCAGGATCTGTTCACTCGGGTCTTTGCTCTCTTACCTGGGAAGCTCCTACTCTCTCACAAACAATGAAAATATATCCACTGTTCTCTTGCTTACACGTGTACTAACTCAGTCCAGTCCACAACAACATGAAGTTTTCATTTTGCAGAGGGAGAAACTGAGGATGGACACACCTTACCCATGGTCATACAGCTAGTAAGTTAAAGAGCTTAGGATTCAAATCCGCAGCTCCGGAGTACACGGGATAACCACAGAGTCCTAGCCTGCCTGCACACTGCTCCACAGCAGCTATCACTAACCCGGGCCATCCATACGTCGGAGAAGAACCGCCAACGCTACCTGGCTGGGACCTGCCAATCAGACGAAAGGAGACTTCTGATTGGCCGCCTCCAGCGACGAACGGTGAGAGGGCGGGGAGTGAGGGCGCGGAGGCGTCGCGGAAAAATGACGCAACGCTATGACTCCTTAAAGGTGCCGGCACAGCGCTCCGCGGATGGCGCAGGCGCGTTCCGGGGCTCCAGCTTCTCTTCAGATAGCTGAGCAGGGCTCGTCAGGCGGGCGCGCGCGCGCGGAGTGTGCTGACAGGGCGCGCGGGACGCTCTCAGCTCGAGGGGTCGGGCCGGGAGGCGTGGGGAGCTTGACTGAGGAGCGGGCGCCGCGATGGCCGAGGGCAGCGCCGTGTCGGACCCTCAGCACGCCACGCGCCTGCTGCGAGCGCTCAGCTCTTTCCGCGAGGAGTCCCGCTTCTGCGACGCGCACCTGGTCCTCGACGGGGAGGAGATTCCGGTGCAGAAAAACATCCTGGCGGCCGCCAGCCCGTACATCAGGTGAGGAGGGGGCTGCGGCGGGTGGTCCTCGACCCCCGGCCGCCGGGGTCTCCCACCTCACCGCCCAGCGCGGAGCCCCTGCCGGTGGACACCCCCACCGGGCCTCAGTGGCCGCCACCCCCGGGGCAGCCCCTGTGGCCTCCAGGCCGGGCCTCCCTGTACAACACCCAGCCCCTCAGAGTTGTCTCCAGACTCTGCCGCGAGCCCTCTGCCCTGTCCGCCCCGGGCTTCCACCGCTGCAGCGACGGCCCGGGCCTCGGAGGCCCTTCGGACGCGGTCCTGGGGCGGGCCGGGCCCTGCGCCCGGGAAGAGCCACCCCCTCGCCCAGGCCGAGCCCGCGGATCCCAGCTGAAGTTTGCCGGCTGTTCGCCTCCAAATCCTCGCGCAGTGGGCTGGGCCGGGCGCCGCGGACGGGGCGGGGAGCGCCCCTCCCAGCCGTGAAGCCAAACAAACCCTACCTCGCGGAGGGTGGGCGGAGAGAATACTGTGTATTAGATGTTCTCCTTGGGATAGGTAAAATCTGACTCTCAAGGCCGGAGTGTTTCTCCTTGTCTAACGCGAAATTTCCCCTCTCTCGTGGGCACTCTATTTAAAACAAGAGTTGTGCGTTATAGACACGTTAAAGTAAACTGTAACAGCAAATTTGAAAAGACAGTGTAATTCTCAGCATTCAGTGACGACCCGAGAACCATGAGAGTCTTGCAACTAAGGGCATTTTAAAACTTAAGTAAAACAAAGCTTAACCTGATTTGCCAGCTCAGCTAACCAGGTTCATTAACCGGTGCATATATCAGTGTATCAGGTCTTGCAAGAGGCTGTTTTAGCTATTTTCTTGCGAAGTAGGTTGCTCTTATAACAAAAGGAAAAAAAAAATGCTAAAAGCTGGAGAAACTGCCCAGTAAGCTGGTTTAATATAGACTAATGGTAGAAAATGTCACTAGAATTGACAGGTCAAAAAAAGCAGAATCATGTGCACTGTGTTTGTAGTCTTTTGTCCCAGCAGAACTCAGAGCACAGATTACACCGTAACCTTTGCCACTGGGAGACTTCTGCGCTAACTCAGAAGCAGCTCCAGTGCTGTTTTAAGTTCTGCCTTCTCCTGGCTCTCTTCTGTAAAAATCCATTAGCACTCTTAGTGCATTTAAGGGTACCTCCCCCCACAGGCAGTGAGGATGTTTGTTAGTATGGAATTTAGGATGCCAGTGTGACAGCTCACAGCTGGCAGTTCAGAGATTTGAGTAATCAATATCAAATTGGAAGCAGCAGGCCAAAGTCTTCCCTGAATTCAAAGTATTCCCTGTGTGGGGAAATGCTCAGGAAAACTATGTTAGACACGTTACTGTTACAGTTCTTTAAATGACAGCTCTTCAGCTTAAAAGAAGTAAATTGCGAATCGCTGAACACAGGCTCTACATCCCTGTTCATTATTCTCGGAGCACTCACCACTGTAATAGAGCCTGTAGTTTGCTCATTTACTATGCTGTTCTTTCCCAGCCATGATGTCAGCTCATTGCCGCTGTCATTTGTCTTCCGTTGATCACTATAGTGCTCACACCCAGAGGAACACATTGTAGTGGGTTAGTATATGTGTTGAAGAATGACTGCTTTCCTTTCTACCACAGCAAATTGGACATTAGTGCATTGGCTTCATAACATTTCCGTGCGAGCTGTTCAGTTATACCTAGTTGAGAAGACCCCTGGACTGAGTGTGAAGACCTACTCTCTCCTTCCATGTTTTACTCGTATTAGCTTTGAGTTGTTGGTAGATGACTTACATAGTCTTGGCTTCAGCTCGCTAGTCTGACAAATGAAAGATAAAATCACCTGTGAGGAGATTGGTGAAAGGGTTTTGAACACCTCATTGGTCTGTGCACAAGTCTATAAAGGCAGTATCCGTTGAATTGAAAAAAGAGCTCCTCTGGTCCTATTCTGTGCCATTGGGCAGATTCTTTTTATTTTTTACGAATAAACATGATTCTCTGGATATGTTTTTCTTCGCTGACAGATTAATTGCTTTTAAGTTTATTTGGTTCTTGAAGTAGAATGTCTTGGGATTATTTTCAAATTTTCAGTTTAGAAGTTGTTTTAGAGTCATTTGACCAGTCTTTATTACTACCTAGAAATGAACAAACTGACTAGTAATTTTTTATGCCAATAACGTGGGGCTTTTATAATTATGTTTTGTTTGAACAATACTTTAGGGAATTATACTGAAACAAATGGATTTGTATATTCTAGAACTTGATGTTTTCTTATCTCCCTTTTGAACTATAAGTATTTACATTCGTGATATCATTAATATATCAGTTGGATGTTCAAAAATTTGATAATCTTTTTTTTTTTTAAGTTTGATAATCTTTGAAGTTTTATATAAAACTGATACTGTTTCCAGTTTTTTGTTAGCCTTGCTTTGGTAACTCATAAATGGTCTAAAATTATATGTTTTAGAAGGAGTGTTATAGTATATTGCTTCCTGTGTGCCCAATGAAGGGGGCCAATCCAACTTTGTCACAGTTGGATTTAAAGCAATTCGTTTGGCATACTTTCTCCTTGCCATAGGAAATTCCTTTACCCTAACTTTTAACCTTTTCCTGTGTTTTATCTTTGGTCTAGCATTTGGTTTTCCTCCTGATAGCCTTAGCAATCATCTCACATTATAAAGGCTTTAAGTATAAAAAGGAAAAGCCAGAAAATTCAACTTCAGCATCTAAACCCTCATGATAAGCTGAAAGAGGTCTGACATTTCTGGGTTGTGTAGAGTACAAGTCGTGCGGCCTTAGGGCATTGGTGCTCCAGGGAGGAGGCAGGGCAAGTGGGATGCTGCTTTCCCAGCATGCCCTTTCCCCAAAGCTTTCCTCATTCTGATCTATAGATGACATTTGTTCTTGGGTTTATTGGGAAAACTAAATCTGGAAGTAGCTGACAAACGTTAAGAATGGCAAAAACTGAATTCATAGTATAAGGACCCACCAAGTTTTTCCTTCTTAGTAACTCAGGACTTCTGGGAAGAGCTTGCCGAGGGTTACAGGAAATTTCTCTTCTTTTGCACATTACAGTCTACTTTGCTGGGTGTCCGAGGCTCTTCCGCTTCTGGCACAATCCCATTGATTGGATGCAAAGTTCAGACCCATTTTTCTCCCAGGCTGTGACTCTTGGGGAGTGATGTATTTGGAAAGGATTTGAAAATGAATTGCTGTGTGCTTCTGCAGTGACATTGTGGTGGCTCTGTACAGTTCCTGATCCTCTGCTAACTTGTAGAAGTTTAAGCTTTTCTAGGGACCTATTGCAACATCAGTTTGTTTAGCTTTCAGTCCTGAAGAGTAAAGGAAAGAAGAGTCCCAATATTTTTAGATCCTTCCATGAGTCAGCTAACAGTGTAAACATTTTTTTGTTGTTCTTATTTTTTGAGAGCAAGCTGCCTAGTGAGTGTGGTGTGAGACATTGGGCCTCTGATCCAGCTTGGTTACCTTGAACAATTTCTGGGACTTAGTTATGTAGCTCTGTGTTGTTTTGGTTTTGTACGTGTGTGTTGCAGGGAGTCTGTTTCTCTTTTAAAGTTTTTATATATTGATGTTAAAGCATTTCCCTTCCCTACCATGTAGGACTTAGTTGGGTATTCTGCCGTATAAATTTAGCCATGTAGAGTTGAGTAACAAGCATTAGTTTTATGCTGCTAATCTGGGTATGGTCCAAGGCCAATTGATAAGCCTGTTTTGCCATTTAAATCTAAAATTTGACTCCTGGTTGATGCTGACAAAACTGCTCAAGGAGACTGATATGGTCTTGTTAGGAGGTCTAGGCTGCATTGTAACATGGAAGTTGTCATTTTCCTTCTTGTGGATATCAGAGATTTACACTGTGGTTTAATGTCACATGGGCACTAAAGGCCACGGATGTTGGGTTACGGTGTATTATATGCAGGGCATGTTCTTAGTCTCCAATTTCCTTTTCTTAATTTATTTATTTCTTAATTAATTAATTTGAATAACTGAAAAATCTCTCATCAGATTCTTTGCTTCCATGTTCATGCTGAGCGTCCACTAAGTATTCCCTGGGAATGAAGAGAGGCTTGCTGGGAAGCAGTCATTTCAGAATAATGTTCAGTTAGATGCATTTTGCTTTCTTTACAATATTTTCATCATCTTCCCCCCCCCCCAACTTGTGCTTTGCATTTATAGTCTTCCATATCTGTAGCATCTCCTAAATGATTTTGTAAGGATTTTGAATAGTGATTTTAGTCTGTGAAGTTTGTTGCTAACAGGTTCAGTTAGAAGCTCTAATTTTTCAGTCTTACCGAATCCTGACCATTCTTAAAGCAAACCGGCTTACTTGTTTGCTTTTAAGAATGGTCAGGATTCGGTAAGGCTCTTTTTTTTTTTTTTTTTTTTTTAAAATGTTTTTTTTTTTGTTATGGTTTTTTTTTTTTTTTTTTTTTTTTGAGACAGCGTTTCAAGTTGTTGCCTTGGGTAGAGTACCAAGGCGTCTCAGCTCACAGTAACCTCAAGCCCTTGAGCTTAAGTGATTCTCTTGCCTCAGCTTCCTGAGTAGCTGGGACTACAGGTGCCCATCGCAGTGCCCAGCTATTTTTTGGTGGTAGTTGTCATTGTTGTTTGGCAGGCCCCAGGTTGGGTTCGAACCCGCCAGTTCTGGTGTATGTGGCTGGCACCCTAGCCTCTGAGCAACAGGCGCCAAGCCCTCTTCCCATACTCTCATGGTGATGGAAATAAGTTGAGCCTAAACATCTCTTAATGGAGCTACTTGTTTTTATCCATCTACCATAAGGCATTCCTAACAACTGCTTAAAAGGTGAAATCTGTCCTGAAGGTCTTACTGCCAAATGGTTTAAAATTATTTTCCTTTTCCTTATTCTTTTTGTAATTATAGTCTTCTTTGATTAATCCCCTTCTTACTTGGTTTTTCAAAAATGATATTAAAGTTTGGTTTCAAAAGAGGAAAGAAATAGTTTAAGCTTCCAAGGAAGCTCATCATTTATATGATAA